TCTTTTTCTGCCAAAGAGAGAATCTGAACTCCATAATGAGAATACTGATATATTACTTGTTTCTGATAATAAGTTCTTATCTTTTGAGAAAGCATTAAACATTATATTTGTGCAGCTTAATCCTTAACTTGAGATATACCTTTAGAAATAATATGTTGTTACTATAACATTTTGAGAAACTTCAACTATTACACAGCTATTTACCTAAATATTTGTGTGAGATAAGTATGAAGGCATTTTACTAATAATTTTATGAAGACACTGTAATAAAAATTCAGTCTTAGAATTTCAGAAAAGAAATAGTCCAATAAAGGTACTTCTCCTGGTTCAATTTATACAAATGAAAATTCTGAAGCTAAGTAAATTAGACAAATTATATTGCTGTTTCACAAGTTAAAGAAATTGAATTTATTTAGTTAAAATTTTTTAAAAATTTATTTATATTTGATTGGTTTATAACACATCAGTTTCGTATGTGCAGTATTATATTTTGACATCTATATACACTACAGCGTGCTTACCACCAAAAGTTTAATTTTCATCTGTCATCATATTGTTGACTCCTTTACCCATTTTGCCCTCCCTCCACCCCTATCCACTATGTACCACTACTCTGTTCTATGTATCTCCTTGTTTGTTTCAGTTTGGTTTGTTCATTCATTTTGTTTTGTTTTGCTTTTATATGCCACACAAGTGAAATCATATGGTATTGGTCTTTTTCCATTTGACTTATTTCACTTAGCATAAAACCCAGAAGATCCATCCGTGTTGTCGCAAATGCCAAGATTTCATCTTTTTACGTCTGAGTAATATTCCATTGTGTGTGTATATATACATATATACACACATATACCACATCTTCTTTATCCATTCATCCATCTATGGGCACTTAGGCTGTTTCCATATCTGGTCTATTGTAAATAATGCTGTGATGAACACAGGGGTGCATATATCTTTTCAGATTACTGTTTCCATACTCTTTAGATAAATACTCCTACATAGAATAGCTGGATCATATGATAGTTTTATTATTAATTTTTTGAGGAATCTCCATAGCATTTTACATAATCAGGGCATTGATTTACATTCCCACCAAAAGTGCACAAGGATTCCCTTTTCTCCACTTCCACTCCCAGTACTTGTTATTTCTTGTCTTTTTGATAATAGCCATTCTAATGAGTGTGAAGTGATATCTTGCTGTGGT